CATAGGCATTTCGATTTAGAGGGGAAAAGCTGGGAAGTTGTGCTCCCTCACACTGCCATCTTGTTCCTTAACTATCTCGAGAAATGTTTATGGCCCTGGCCGGTTTTGCTCAGCGGTTAGAGCATCTGCTCACAGACCAGAGGGTCGGGGGTTCGATTTCAGTCAGGGGCACATACCACGGTTGTGGTTCAGTCCCCAGCCCTGCTGGAGGCAACTAATCCATGTGTCTCTCTCACATTGATGTTCCTCTATCTCCTCCCCCACCCCATCTGAAGATAAATGAAAAAATATTCCCCAGGGAGGATTAAAAAAAAAGGAAATGTTTATGGAATGATCTGGTCATTTAATATGTGTGTCCTCTTATAGTCCCTGTAGATTGGGTTTTGACAGCCATTGCCCAGCACTGCCCTACCTACCCTCACTGCTTCTTTTTGGGGGTAGAATCCTCTTTGGATTCCCAGGCTCTGCGTCCTAGAGGGTCCCACCAATTGGTTGGCTTAGGACTGTCATGTGATCTCGTCATTACCAATGGGATCTGACGAGATCTGAGGGAACGGAGGTGGAAGGACTCCTGGAAAAGTTTTCTCACTATTACAATTGGGAAGGAATGGGCCTCCTACTCACTGGACACTGTCAGTCTGCCTGTGATGTCTGGGACTGCCACAGCCAGAGACACCACCGATGCTCAGAGGAAGGCATTGTTGAGTCATTGAATTCAGCAAGCCAGGAACTGCCCTCCCTCTGGACTTCCTGTAAGGGACAGCATAAACCCCTTGTTCTGGTCAAGGTTCCATTCTCTTGCAGGCAAAAGCCTCCTGACTGATACTTTTGCCCTCATGGCCTCAGGTTCACTCACTTTCCACTAGTCTGAGTGGGGCCCTCAGCAGATGCCTGGACAAGGCTTGGCATTAAAGGACCCAAAGGAAACTCTTTTCCTGAATAAGTCAAAGATATCACTCCTTGGTCCTTGATATCCTGCATTGGAACTAAAATTGGACCTGCTGCATGGCCAGATTCTTGCAGGTCTGAACAGACTTCTTTTTTGTTGTTGTTGTTTATTTATTTTTGTTACAGATGTTTCTCCTTTTTCCCCCATTGACACCCTCTTCCCCCTCACTCCCCGCCCTGTCCCCAGCTTTGTTGTCCATGTCCATTGGTCATGCATACATGTATATAAGTTCTGAGGTTTATCTCTCCCCCCATCCCCTCTTCTGGTGATTGTCAGTCTGTACCCTACTTCCATGTCTCTGGGATTACCCTTGAACAGACTTCTTAATGAGCCTGAAGGCTTCTCTTATATTCCTAGTGTCCAACACACTTCATTGATTCATTGATTCATTGATTCATTGATTCATTGATTCATTGATTCATTCAGTAGTGTACTGGATCAGGTTCTTACCTATTCCTGAGAGCCAACTGTACATATCTTTCCCACTCTGAGTTCAGCAATGCCATATTGGTAGCTTGAAACCAGCTATGGTGGTGTTTTGTTTTTTTTAAGTAGACTGAATTTTTTTAGAGCTGTTTTAGGTTCACAGCAAAATTGAGCAAAAGACAGAGGTTTTTCTTATACTCCCTGTCCCTCCACATGCATAGCCTTCTGCCTTATCAACACCTCCCCACTAGAGTGGTTCATTTGTTAGAACTGATGAACCTACATCAACACATTATTACAACCCAAAGTCTGTTGTTTACACCAGTGTTCATTCTTGGTGTGTATATTCCTTGGGTTTTGACAAATGTATAATGATGTATAGCCACCATTATGTTATCATAGAGAATAGTTTCACTGCTCTAAAAATCCTCTGTGCTGCACCTATTCTTCTCTCTCTCTCCCCTCAGCTCTGGCGACCTTTGATCTTTTTACTGTATCTTTAGTTTTATCTTTTCAAGAATGTCATATAGTATATATCCTTTTTAGACTGGCTTCTTTCACTTAGTAGTGTACATTTAAGGTTCTTCCATGTCTCTTCATGACTTCATAGGTCATTTGTTTTTAGTACTGAGTGATATTCTATTGTCTGTATATCCCATAGTTTATTTATCAATTCACTTACTAAAGGACTTCTTGGTCGATTCCAAGTTTTGGAAATCATATATAAAATTGCTATAAACATCTGTGTGCAGGATTTTGTGTGGACATATATTTTCAGCTCCTTTGGGTAAATGCCAAGGAGCACAATTGCTGGCTTGTATATTAAGACTATGTTTAGTTTTGTAAGAAACTGCCCTACTCTCTTCCAAAGGGATTGTACGCTTGCGCATTTCCACCAGCAGTGAATAAGAGTTCCTGTTGCTCCACATCCTTGACAACATTTGATGCCATCAGTGTTTTGGATCTTAGATTTTCTAAGAGATGTGTAGTGGTATCTCATTGTTTTAATTTGCATTTCTCCAATTACATAAGATGTTGACCATCTTTTCATATGCTTACTTTCAAGCTTATATCTTCTTCAGTAGATCTGTTCATGTCTTTTGCCCACTTTTTTTGTTGTTGTTAATCGTCACCCAAGGATACTTTTCCATTGATTTTTAGATAGAATGGAAGGGAGGGAGGGAGAGAGGAGAGAGGGAAGAGAAACATCAATGTGAGAAAGACACATTAATTTGTTGCCTCCCGCATGACCCTGACTGGGGCTGGGAATAAAACCTGCAAGCCAGGTATGTGCCCTTGACCAGGAATCAAACCCGAGATCCTTCAGTCTATAGGCTGACACTCTAGCTGCTGAGCCAAACTGGCCAGGGCTCTTTTGCCCATTTTTTAATTAGGCTGTTCATTTTCTTATTGTTGAGTTCTAAGAGTTCTTTGTATATTTTGAATAACAGTCCCTTATCAGGTATGTCTTTCACCTATATTTTCTTCCATTTTGTGGCTTGTGTTCTCATTCTCTTGACATGTAGAAATATTTACAGAATGGCAGACACAACAAATTAGGCCTTTCCTTCAGAGAGCCAGTTGTTAAACCTTTACCAGTACACCAATGCATTCAGGCATCAACCATTTACTGGGTGAGCTGTTTGCCCTTGCCCTAAAAAATATTCAGTCCTGTGGGGGAGTTATGTCAATGAAATACCAACTACTGTACAGAGTTCTGAGTCTTGGGATGGAAGCAGAGCAAGGATGCTACAGGAATGTAAAGGAGGGGCATCTCTATCAGCCATGAAGTTGGGATGGTTTCCCAGTGCAGAACTTGAGCTAAGCATTCCAAAGTGAGTAGCAGTTGCCTGGACCCATACTGCCCAATAAGGTAGTCAGCCACTAGCCACATAAGACTGTTAATTCACTCCCACTAGCAACATTGCAAGTGCTCAATAGGCACGTGTGGCCAGGGGCTACTGTATCAGACAGAACCAATACAGAACTTTTCCATCATCTGAGAAAGTCCCATTGGACAGCCCTGGTCTAGATTAAAAAAAAAGAGAAAGGTGTTCTAGGCAGAAGGAACAGAAAGGGAAGACACAGAGATCTGAGAACATGACTCATTCTGTTGGCTGTGATGGGAGCTGTGGCTGAACAAACAGGCAGCAGTCAGATCACAAAATGTCTTTAGTGTGGAAGCTGAGGAGTTTAAATTCTAGTCTGAAAGCTATGGGGAGCCCCTGAAGGCTTTTGAACAGAAGCCTGATGTCATCAGCTTTGCATGTTAATAAGATTTCTCTGGCACTCAGTAGAGGCTGATTAGAGGGGGCCAGCCAGCAGGCAGGGAGACCAGTTCTGAAACTATCTCCTGGGAGAGAAGTGAGAGACATTAGAAATGAGGCATGGACCGTGGCACAGATGCAGAGAGAGGGCAGACTCAAGAGATAGGAAGGACCCACTGGCTGATTGTGTCTGGCCCTTAGGAGGTGCTTTGCAAATATTTGTTGATTTAATGAATTAATTCTAGCTGAGCCCAGATTGTACAACTGGGTGCACATCCCCTGGGACCCTAGGTGGCATCTATTGCACAAATGAACATGTAGAGGGGCATTTCTTTTCAGCTGAAGGGGAAAGGGCAATGGGGAGAGAGACAAGAGAGATGTAGGTGGTGACATCCCCTGTCCTGTTAATGGTGCTGGTGACAAGGGAACAGACTATGACTGTGAAAGACTGTGAGGGACACTGGCCAAAGGTAGTACCTCGCTGGGACCCAGGGACAAGAGCTACTCAGAATTGGGTGCAGGCCATTCTCCTCTCCACCCCTTCTCTAACCCCCCTGCCACATGGACTGCAGGGCAGATCTGGTTTCCTGGAGGATCAGGCCATTTCACCAGCAGACAGATGCAATGCACAGTGGACCCACAGCATCAGGAGAGATGTCAGCAGAGAAAGCTTGGGGTAACCAAACATGGCCAGGGTAGGAGACAAAAGTAGACTGAAAATACCAGCCTCCGGCTTTGGGCTCTCAGAAGTAACTGGAGGAGATTGTGAGGGCAGGTGGCTAAAAGCTACTGTAACTTGGGCATCAGTGTTACTATCACCTTATTTGCATCTGTGAGTCTATAAGGCTGGGAACATTTCGGTTACAGAGTGAATGATAATAGGTGACAGGCAGGTTTCACTTGTTCATTCATTAAACAAATATTTATTAGCCTTTGTATGCCATGCACAGTGCTAGATGCTAGGCATATAACAGTTTATAAAACAGGGCTGATCCCTGCCCCCAGGGAGCTTACAGTCTGATAGTCATACAAATCAGTCTAGTGCCATCATCTGTGTGCTATTCAGGAAAAGCACCGGCATCCACAAGATGGTCTAACGGGAAGGATTATTTTAGATTAGGGGTCAACAAAGAACAATTTGAGAAAGTGACATTTAAACCAAGACCTGGAGATGCATAGAAGTTAGCCAGGTGAAGAACAGGGGGTTGCATTCCAGGTAGAGGGAACAGCAAGTGCAAAGGATTTGGGGACAAATCCTTGGCCATCTTGAGGCTGAGAGAAAGCCAGGAGCATGAAAGGCAGGAGCATGAAGGCAAGAAGGTGAGAGGCACAGGAGAGGCCTGGGGAGGGAGGGAGGGGCCAGACCTCCTAGGGCCACATTAGACTTTGCATTTTAACCAAAGCACCATGGCAGGGGAGTGAAGCGATCAGATCCATGTCTCACAGAAGATTGCTCTGGCATCTGTGTGGAGAAAGGAGTGGGAACAAGAGGGCACGTGGAGAGAAAAGTGTGCAATTCAGTTGCTGATGGGAGAGATGTGGCTGGCATGTCTATGGTAATGGAAAGAACTGAAGGGACCTGAGCCATTAAATTCTTCTTAAAAAAAGAATTGACACTATGTTTTTCTCACGCCCTTGCCTTGTAATAGATAGGCTGAACTGTTGACTTCAGACCGGATGAATGGCAGATGTTTTAACCACGTCAATCTGTCCTCCATACTGCCTGTTTTGCTCTGGGCTAGGTTAGATCTAATGATGTCACATGGGCCATTCCCCCGCCTCCCAGCAGGCCCACACCTGATGGGAATCAATTTTATGTTTAAAGATTTCCTGAGAAAGCTTTCACAACTTCTTTGGTAACCCTGCTCATGTTTAAAATAATTACTATTAGGAAATCCCTGGTTGTATTTCACCTGAATGTCTCACCCTAAAATTTCCTGATTCTTGATGGAGATCAAGATGCTAAAATAATAAGTCACCTGGGCAGCCAAATATGATGTCATGATGATAGTTCTGAATCATGTCTGTCCATCCCACAGCCAAAGTGAATTATTTGTTAGCAACAAAGAAAGATGCCCTAATATCCCTAGAAAAGGATTCCAACTCAATTTTTGTAGCTGTTCAGCTCACTGCCAAGTTCTTTGCCCTTACTACTAAAAGTGTGGCCCATGGACCCCGCAACATAACTGCAGAGATTGGTAGAAATTAAGAACTGAGTCAGGACCCGCATTTAACACACTCCCCAGGCAATTCATAGGCACATTTATTTTGAGAAGCACCTGCCTTAGATCGCCCTAGGGCCATCTAAAAGTGGGTGGGCAGGGGCCAGGGCCAGATATTTGAAATGCAGCGAGCCTCAGCAAGCGGTTAGGGAAACTGAACTGGTCCAACAGGAACTGGATTTTCTCTGGAAGTTCCCTGCTCCCGAGGCCCACAGGCATTTCAGCTGGATTCAGAGACAACGTGCTGTTTCCTGGTTGTGTGGCTCATGAGAAGGTAGGTAGACGTGCCCCTGGTGCTGAAATGCTGTCAGGTGGACAGCACTCTTCAGGTGCCCCCCAGACAGCACTAGAAGCCAAGGAGTGTCAGTCTTCCCTCCCCCAGTATGGACAGTTTGGTCCTTGTCTTCTTAGCTTGGTCCCTAAGGGCCCTTGTTCTCTGGGTGCTCAGGGTGACACCTTCCTTCTGAACTGAGCCATGCAATGAGAGGGCTGTTTTTAGCACCTCAATAAAAATCACTCCCACAATGGCCTCCAGTGGAACGGAAGGTCCAGTTCCAGTGGTCTTGAAAGTTCTGCCCACACTGTGTGGTCAGCCTCTGCAGGCCAAGGACCCCTGCACCCACGTGTGTGTATGTGTGTGTGTGAAAGAGAGACAAACACCGGGCACAGCCCCACAAAACAAAGGCCCTTGTTTTATTACTGCCTTCTTGAGAAATGTTTCAAGGCACGAAATCCAGGCCAGAACCGAATCATTTCACTCTGTCTTCCCTGGGGCTGATCCTCTCATATAATTAGACAACTGGATCAAGTTTGTGGGCTGTTTAAAGCATACAGTTTGTAAATACTGTAAAATCAAACATTAATTTTGGCTTTTATTTACCGTGATATGTTCACATTACCTAGCACCAAAATACCCGATTCAGTCTCCTTTGCCTTTGTTCTCGTCTTCGTTCCTGTGGTGACTTTGCCCCCTGCCTGCTGGTGTTCATTTCTCTGCTCTAATTCCTCCTCCCACCCACCTCCGTCCCTCCTCCCAGAGCCTTGTCTGCTTGCTGACTCCAGCGTCTTCCTCGCCTGTTCCACTTAACCTCTTGCTCCCTTCCCTCCCTTTGTGCCTCTCACGCTGCTCTTCATCCTTTGAAATGTCTTCACTTCTTTTTCCTTCCTGTGCTTTCATTTCCAGAGGCTTTGAGACGCTTCTCACTCACGCTCGACCCTGCTTCTCTCCGGCTATTGTCTCTCCCCTCCCAAGACCCACCACGGAGTCTCTTCTTTTCCTGTTTTTCTCTAAAGGTGATGTGTGGGCATCAGAGAATTGCAGATTTCAGAGTCAAAGGGACAGAGTCAAAGGGACATGGCTTATGTGTCCCTTACACTGACAGTTACTTCTGAGTCACAAACTCTTTCTTCTTTTTCTATTACCTTCAATGACGGTGTCCTTTCTTTCGTGTCCCAGAACACATGCACACACACCTTCTAGGCGCCTGCAGTGCAGATGTGTGCTCCCAGGCTCCCCTGTGACACTAAGCTTCCTTCTCCAGGGCCTTTTCCCAGCCAGGCTGGTCTGTGCTTCATGCCCCTGGGTGAGCGCTAGGAAACATGATTCTACTTCAAGGTGCTGAAGAGAGACATGTCAGTGGGGTTCCTCTCCCCAGGTGTAGCTCGTGGTTGGGGGAAGGTGCCAGCAGAGGTTCACCAGTCAGGGGAACAGGAAGCTCATCTGAAAGCCAGATCCCAGCAGGCCATGTTCAGCCAATCAACCAACCAACCAATCAGCCAATCACTAGTCAGAGCTCTTGTCAGGGCTTCTCTCTGTGCCACTGGACACAGCATCTTCAAATCGCAGAAAACCAAGAAGCAAAACAAATATAGCCCCAAAGAGACACCCTTGTAACCACAGGACAATGATTCTAACATCTGGCATTCTCGGCTAGAGCTTCTCCAAGTACTTTATAGAATCTAGGCTGCTACTTTCTTAGAAGCTGGGGACACAGAGTTTACACCCAAGTAAGCCACTGGGGGATTTGTGAAAATCCCTCCTTTTCCTAGTGCTTGGTTCCTCATGGTGTCTCCATTTCTCCATGGCGGCCACAGGGAAGAGGATTGGCCAAGGAGATGAAGGTCCCGGTGAGCACCGATCAGGAGGCCAGCCTTGCCTAGGTCTCAGGACGCCTGTGCTCTAGTCCTGCCTGCACACTCTAACCACTCCAGCCCAGACTTGTGCGTTTGCACCCTAATTCTCAATCCCGCAGTGCTTACCCTTGGAGAACAGGAAGGAAGCTGCCCTGCAAACCCTCGAGGTGAGTAGGGCTTGCAGGTAAGCCAGAACATGCCCTGCCAAGTCCAACTCCACCCTGCGGTTCTGCAGCCAATGCCAGGGTGTGGATCTCTGCTTAGCTACTCAGTGAAAATTCCCAAGACAAGGAGGAAGTGGTGCCATCTTGAGGACAGGAAAAATTTCGGTTTCATTTCCCTGCCCCGTACTCCCAATCCCCACCACCATCTGCACACCCCCTGAGGGGAGTAGAAAAACAAATATGAATATAAGCCTCCACCTGAGTTCCTTTCATATCAATTAATTAACCAACTAAATTGCTAATAAATTACTATTATAAAATGTGTGTATACATAGGCATATATAAGTGTGTAAATGTGTACACACACACACATATGTATGTATGTATACGTAGTTCCCACTTTTCTTCCTTGCTTCCTCTCTTGCAGGCAGCTTCAGACAAAAGCCTCTGACCCCTCCAGAGGGGCTTCATCGGATCATGGGTGCCACGTAGTTGGCAGGGAAGAGGCCCAGTTTGTTGTGCAGGCGGCCAGTCCACCAGGAGGGGTTGGAGCTGTCCAGGACTTCAACCACCTCTCCAGAGCGGAATCCCAGCTCATCGTCCTCGAGGGCCTCAAAGTCATACAGCGCCCGGGCCCACCGCACTCGCTGTTGGGGGAAAACACAGAGGGGTCCTGCTGAGCTGCTGGCTGGACTGGCCTTCGAAGCCACCACCACACAGAAGAGAATCTGCTGACTTTGGCATCAAGACACAGTCCTCTGTGAGCAGCCTGCCCTGAAGGCTGATGCATGTCTCTCCGGAGACATTTCAATCCCTGTTGCAACGGAAAGCAGACACGGGCTGCACCGCCCTGGGCACACAATTATCAGAATTTACCAGAGTCACTGTTGAGACTCAAGACTTGAGCTGACAGAGATGTCATTCTCCAAGGCCCCAAGAGAATCTTTAAGAACTATCTCCCTACATCAATAGGTGGTCTTGCTACTTTCTTCAGGTGATAAACAGAATGGCAGTGTGCCAAAACTAACAGCCCTTGGTGCTAGTGCAACCATGTCAAGATGCATCTTGGTGATAAAGGCAACACATCTCCCTCCACTAGAACCAGAGCCAAGAAATATGAGAACAGGGCAAGGCTGACGGCCACAGGAGAACAACAGACAGGATGGTGCTGGGCTGGCATCCGCTGCACCCCGGAACACTCCCCCTACTGTCACTATCTAGGTTCCCACTGCCTCGATTTGAGCTCTGGTGTCTCTCTGGAGGACCAACTGTTTCTCTAATTATCTGTTCTGCCTCCTACATTGAGCCCAGAGGGAAAGTTCACATACCCCGGCCACTTGGAGTTGCACTGGGTCTGTGTGTCTCCGGTGCATGAGGGCAGGATTCATTTCACTGCCCATGCTCATGCCACAGTGCCCGTCATTTATGTCAAGGCTGCCTCCACGACGTTCCTAGAAGCAGATGCAAGAGAGGGCCTGTCACCATGCTGCCAGAAGTATCCCTCACCATCTCCCCCAGTGCCTTACTCAGATGCCATGAGCAACCAGTGTTCCAAGAATACTTGCTGATGATGACAATAAACCCTAAATGTTGGTGAAAGGGGGCAGAATGACAAAGGAACCTTAGATTCTGCAGACAAAAATGATGGCAGGTCTTATTTGTTCAATCAAGAAATGTTTATCAGGCACCTACCATGTATCTAGTACTGTACTAAGCAACGGGGATGTAAAGCCGGAAAGAGGTCACTTATCTTCATGGAGCGTCAGTTCAGAGGGGGAATCATGCATGTCTAAATGATAAGTGAGCAGGGAGAAGAGTGTCTAAGTCTGCCTGGGTAATCAGGGAGTGCTTCATAGAGGAAGTGATGCTTGAACTACAGCTTAAAGGAGGTCAGCCAGGAAAGAGCATTTTAGGCAGAGGGGACAGCATATAAACAGCCTCAGACATGAATGAAGATTCCATGGACCATTCTGGTAACTAGAGGTAGTGTAGCGTTGCTGGAATGTGTGTTTGTGTGGGGAGAAGGGGAGGTAGCAGGAGATGAGGCTGAGGAAACAGAAATGTGCAGCTCACAAAGGACTTTGTATGCTCTGCTAAGGAATTTAAGAACGATGTTATCTGGCTGTATTGTCCATCTCGATAAGCTGCCTAAAATCCCATCTGGAACAAGGCCAAGGAGAAATAAATAAATTAAATAGATAGATAGATAGATAGATAGATAGATAGATAGATAGATAGATAGATAGATAGATAGGCCAGGCTTCATGGCAGGTGTTAATCCGTTTTTCTTGTAGATCTTGACAGCCAGGTGGGTTAAGGAACATGAATGGATTTGAAATTGTGCTGATAGGAAAATGAAGCAATTGTTCATTGAATCCTCGGGGTAAGAAAGTGTGTGTGCGTGTGTGTGTTCAGGCAGGGAATCATTTGATTCACAGAGACTTCTTTGCCAAAATAGTTTCTGTATCCTATTTCTGCCATTTGGCAGGGGGGTGGGGGCTCCCAGGATCATCTTTATGAACTTCGTGAGCCCTGATGAGGCTGGGTCAGGCCAACAGTCCCAGGACCACAGCAGAACCTCAGCACTTCTTTGCTATGGTTGTGTCCAGCATTGTGGGGAGCTTTCACGCAGTAGGTGGCAGTGGGAACAAGGTGGCCTGGGGCTGGGGCTGGGGCTGGGGGGGAAGGAGAAGGACCTCCTCCCCATCTCACTGTTCCTCACTATCCTTTCCAGATACCTGATGGAAATGGTGATGCTGCGGGTACCGCTGCTGCTGAGGTGGCGGCGGGGCGGGGGCATACTGCGACGGAGGCAGTGGTGGGTGATCCGACAGCTTCCGGTTCATCACAGGCCGGATTTCTTCTCCCACAGCCCCACTGAGGTGTGGGCCTCCCTGGGGCTTCCGGTCCAGACTGTTACCCCGGCGACCCTGGGAGAGAACAAAGATGATGCAGATCCATCCTCTTCTCACATCTTCTGGCTCTACCCCACCCTCAGGCAGCTGTTCCCCAGACTTTGCTCATGACAGCTCTGAGAAACAGCTGATGGGTTGGGGGGCAGCTAAAAGAGAACCCATGATTCAGACCCTCTGCATTCTCAGCTTCTTCCACTTTGAGGATGTCAGGTCTCCGTTTCACAGACTGACACTTTCCACATGGTATCAATTTAGTTCATTCCTACTGGGCTTGTTTTTCTCTGGGTAATCATGCTTAAATATCCTATTTTACTGGCACAGTGCCACCCCTCCTTATCGCATGTTGCCACACTGCTGGACATCCTAGCCTCCAGATGAGCTTCGCTATTGACTGTGCATGATTCTGAACCGTCATTTATAGCCTGGTGACAGAGACCCAAACACAAAACTCTCGTAGCACCATGGAAACCAGGCCTGCACTGGGCATGATGGGAAGAGCAAGGTCTTCTTAATGATACAGCCACCTCAGGAATCAGAGATAGTTATTTTTACTTAACAGTTACGGAGGGCCCTGGTCTTAGTATTTGCCAGGCATCCTTCTAAGCACTTAACAGGTCCGCACTCACTTGATCCGGTTTAAGGTGGTTTCTGCTGCCTCTCAGACCACTGCATGCACATCCGAGTAGATCAAGACCTGTCCCTTTCCTGGTTGAAATCGTTCACAAGTTCTTGCTTAACCTTTGTTTTTCTCTCTGAGCTTTTGTGTGCACTTGGTGGGAACATCCTTTTCTCCTTTGATTGTAACTTCTCAGGCTTAAACTCAGCCAGTTGCTTGAAAAGGGACAACTTTCTTTATTTCCTCACAGCACATGTTGCTTTGAAAAAAATCTCAATGCCTTTTTCAAATAATCCATTCCTGCGATTTCAACTACTCCAGTCAATGCTTCTTCCTATACCTGTTTTTATAACTGTGTTATTTCATTTGACAAGTATTTTATAATTTGTGTGTGTGTGTGTGTGTGTGTCTGTGTAAGGCAAGTTAGTATTTCCTTTGCGCCTGCTATGGACCAGACTCTGTGGCAAGTGCTGTAACTATATTTTCTCATTTGATCCTCATAACAGCCCAGTGAGGGAGGTATTATATTCTCTCTGTTCTATAGATGAGAAAACTGATACACAGAAAAGTTTCTTTTTTGTTTAAAAAAATTTTTTAAATCCTCACCCAAGGATATTATTTTTATTGATTTTAGAGAGAGGGAGGCAGGGGTGGGGAGCAGGGAAAGAAAGGGGGAGGAGAGACAGAGAGAGAAACATCGATGTGAGAGAGAAACATCAATTGGTTACCTCCTGTACTCACCCCCACTGGGGATCAAACCCACAACCTAGGTATGTGCCCTGACCAGGAATCAAACTCACAAACCTTTGGTGCATGAGATGATGTTCTAACCAACTGAGCCACCTGGCCAGGGCAGAAAGGTTTCTTATCTTGGTTAAGTAATAAGGACAGCTAGTGATGAAATCAGGATTTAAAGCCAGGTCTGTCTGATGCATTTTTTTTTTATCCTCACCAGAGGATATTTTTCCATTTATCCCCAGACAGAGTAGGAGAAAGGGAGAGAGGGAGAGAGAGAGAAACATCTATGTGACAGAGACACATCGACTGGTTGCCTCCCGCACAACCCCGACCAGAGACAGGGACAAACCGCAACTGAGGTACGTGCTCTTGGCCGGAATCGAACCCAGGTCTCCTTGGTCTGTGGGCCGATACTCTAACCACTGAGAAACCGGCCAGGGCTGTCTGATGCATTTTCTATGAAACAATACTCTATATTCCAAATTTTCCCAAGAGTAAGAATCTCAGTACTATGCTAAGCATTATGAGTCCTGTACTATGCTAAGTTTTCTATTCCAGTGCCTCCTATCTCCACCCCAAATCCTGTCATAAAGCTCCAGCTGGCCCGAAAACTGTGATGTAGTGATGTCAATAACAAAATAACGGCATGCACAATAAGAGCTCCTGTGTATCGAGTGCTTGCAGTATGATTAGGAATGATGTATGGGAAGGGGACAGATTGTCTTCTAACCTTCACAACCATCCTATGAGGTAGCTGTCACTATCATCCTGATTTTATGGATGAGGAAACTGATGATTGGAGAAATTTCCAGTCACACAGCTAGGAAGTGTTAAGCTAGGATTTAACCCGAGATCTGACTTCAGAGTCATTCTACCTTTCAGAATCCTCAGAGGACCTGCCCATCAAATGCATCGTCTTGGTGGTTTTCATGTAAGACTCCAGCTGCCTAAAATTTCTAGATGGGTTGCCTGGGACCTGGAGCATACCTGATCCTCTTGCGTCCTATCCCGCAGGAAGATCTGTTTCTGTTTGGAGATAGAAGTCGTCCTGTAGTAGTCCACCAGCTTATTCAGGGATGGAAACTTCTCTGTCCATAGGAAGTAATTACCCTTGTTGTCTTTCATGACCTTGAAGTGCTGAACATGATCCTCGTGCCTAGAAATCAAGGCAAATCCAAATTATATCTTCCATGGTGACAATGTCCCCTCCTCCCTCAGGGTTGATGGCATCCAGGGATGCTGAGCTAGGGCAGGACATGGAGATATGGGTAACTCTCTTATCACTAGGCGGGTGAGTTGGCCCAGTTAAGCTCTCTGGGGAGATTCGGGGAAGGACTGCTCAGGACACAGGCTGTACTAGAGCACAAGGTAATCTGTCTTCTGACACTGGTGCTTTCACAGGAAAAAAGTGTTTCAAGTGCTTTAAAGACTATGAGGTCAAGGACCTTTTTACGATGTTTATCTGAAACATGGCAACCCCTGAGCCCTGTACTATGCTAAGGACTCTGCCAAGACTCAGAGGGGAGAGGTTTTTCAAGCCCTTGTTATCTTTCCATTATCAGAAATACTTGAACCAGCTCCTTTAAGCCGGTAGACTTGCTCTGGACAGTAAGACGCTAACGACTTTGAGAAATTTGTCACGCTTTGTTCTCTGCACAGATCTCTTGTTTTTGGTTTATGTTTTGCATAAATAAGGTTGCAAAGCATTTTGAGCTTTTGGGGAAAGAACCATGAATGAATGGCAGAGCTGAAGCAAGAATCCTAGGTCTCTGAGTCCAGCCTGCCATGTACACATGTCTTTTAGATGGGCATCTTTTGACATCAGCTGGACTCACAAGGGATGGGGCACATTTGTAGCAGGGTTGGAGAGACTGGATTTTATTCATCGTGAAAGGGGGGACTGGACCTTTACTAATATTCCAAGTCATTCTTTTTAGGATATCAAGCTTATTTGTGAAATGGACATACATTTATATCTAAAAATTAACTGATGTTAATAGTACCAATTGCCTGATCCAGCATAAAAATCAAGAATTTAGAGTGCTGGAGAGTGAAGATACCTCTGAAGGTTAGTGAAACTTTCTTAGGGATGGATTTAGTGGTCTGTGTTCAGAGGGGACAGGAATGCTCATCGTCAGTCTCATTTATGCGCTGGGCTCTGCTCATGGGCAGGTGAACCCATGCAGTGACCTCTGCCTGGATGCTCTGGGGCAGTGACCAGCACTTTGCAGTCACAGCACGGCCTTCCCCTTGGTTTTGGCCATTAACAAGTGTTTTCCTCACTCTAATACCACATGGCTCAACTCACAGTCATTACCCTCACATCTGGGTGAGGAGGAGAAAATATCTTTGTGGTGTAATTACTCATCCACCACCTCTGGTCAAACAAATTAGGGTGAGAAACATTAACCCTTTCACTCTTGTGAACTGAGAGGATGGATGCCAGGGTTTCGCTTGGTCATCTAGGCCTATGGAGGGAGAGTGTTCTGAGAGGGGCAGAGAATAATAATGATTTCGCTCTGGAATACATTATGCTACACTTCTGCAGAAGATGTGATAGTGATTATGGTAATAATCACCATAACAAGAAGTTGTACTGCCTCAGTAGCAGGGGAAGGTTTTTGCAGAAGTCAAGGCTGGCTGTTTTATAGAATTTACTTTAACCAGGGAAATATAAATCACAGTTCCTAGCTGAAGAAGCCAGTGAACTTCATGCAAACCAAAGGCACCAAGAGATGCCCTTCAGTCTAACAATTTACTTGGTCTATTATATAATCCAGACCCTTAAAAAATATGTTAGACTTGTAAGATCTATCAATAGAGCAAAATTTCATTAATTAAGACCTAATAAGCTTAGAATTTGTGATACATCAATATTGGCCTGACCTAAAATATACCTTCACCCAAGCTGTGAAAAAAAAATTAAGAGTTTAAGTGAGACTGCAAGGACGATGTGAACAAGCCCAAGCTATTTTTGAGCACTGTAGAGGCACATGCGCATCCAAACGGTTGACCCATTATTTGTAAGTCCCGCCTACCTATTCCTTAAAATATCCATTCTTTTTAAATAGTAAAGTGACCTCAGTTTATTACCCGAGATCAGATATATGTACTTAAAGCACTCAAGCTGCTTGCCTTTCAAAATATATCGAATAATCCACACAAGCATTTCCTGTCAACTAACTTGACAGTGGGTTTCACTGTACAGGCAGGCTGTCATCCTGCTGTACTGCCATCAGTATTAATTCTTGCACTTTCACATGTGGTCACCAAGTCTGAAACGTGACTGTCAATCCCAGACACTCTGGCCACACACAGTGCGTTCAGACTTGGGGCTTCTGAGTATGGGGCTGTGTCATGTTTGTGCCTGGACTGAGTCACTTCCTTGTGGGTGTTGCACATTAGCAAGATTTTGTTGTTAGTCTCCCCACTGCAGCCCTCCTCGGCTCTGCCCTGCTGCCCTCAGTTGTAGGTGACTGCCCTTCTTTTTGTGCCGTCACCCTCAACTCCATATGTATCCTACAGCAATGACTTGGGGTTTTTATTTGTCTCTGACCCTTCTTCAGACACCCGTCAATAGTAAAAAGTTACAATTTAGATCTCAAGATGGATGTGGACAGTTGTCCCTTCCCACTTCTTTCCACAAATTCTCGTTGAGCATCTGTTGGGTACAAGGCACTTTTAAAGGCACAGAGATGAGGAAGATAAAAATCCTGTCCTTCCAGAAGCACCTGGGCCAGAGAGGGAGGCAGATAAATGTACACATACTTTTCGCCACAAACCAATGTGCTAAGGAGCTATGTGCATGTGCTATGGGAAGGAAATGATTAGCATCACAGTTAATGAGATGCCTGGGCCCCTTGGCCACCATGCTCCTGAGCAGCAGGTCACGTGTAAGAGGTCACCTCATAGCTTTAATGGTCTGGGTCTGGGTGGTATCGGGAATGGCCAGTACCTGACAGAAATGGAGAAGTCCCCTGGGGAGCTCTGGCTGGCCCGAATGATGAAGAAACCAACATCCTTGCCCATGAGTAAGTTCTCTGCTTGGTGTCTCGAGAGGCCTTCGTGAAACCATCTATCGGGTGAGATAAAACCAGAGGATCTTGGTGAGATGCCAGATTAATAGGAAGGGTAAGTAGAAGTGAGATAACCCAAAGGGAGAGAGTCTTGCAGCTGTTCAGCAGAGAGAGGAGAAAAGGGGGCCAGGAGTTTTTGAAACCCAACAAATGCTCCAGGCAGTTTTCAGGCCAAGCAAGAGAGTGTTCCTCTTGATGCTCCCTCTGTTGGCCCCAGAAGTCTCTCCAGCTCCGAAAGCCTGAGTCGTGAAAATGTGCCACTGCACCAAAATGGGACAGTGTGGGAGTGACTGCGGGAAGCAGCCTCCTGCTGGCAGCTGCGTGAGGGATGTTGCTAGGAAGGAACTGCATGGACAGCTGATGCGCCAGGAGGACAGGGGCCCCTTCCAGCACTGGAGGTGGCAACCTGGTAGAGCTGGGAAGGGCCATGGACACCAGCTCCCAGGCTGAGACCTCAGTGGCCCGTAAGGATACTTACAACCCAGAGCCTTGTGCTCTTGCTCAGTGCTCCGCGGAGGCTGCAAGGCACCCAGGGAGCCCTGCACACGCACTTGGAAATGAGTGAGGCTGGCAGCAGCCAGGGAACCACGTCTACAAAGGCTCCTGGGCCTCCTCAAAAATCCAGGTTGGATGCCCTGGCCAGTTTGGCTCAGCGGTTAGAGCGTCGGCCTGCGGTCCGGAGAGACCCGGGTTCGGTTCCCGCTAAGGGCATGTACTTCGGTTGCAGTTTGTCCCCGGCCCTGGTTGGTCGTGCGGGTGGCAGCCACTCGATGTGTCCCTTCACATCGATGTTTCTCTCTCTCTCTCTCCTTCCTCTCTCTCCCTCCCACTCTAGCTGTACAAAAAATGGAAAAATATCCTCGGGTGAGGATAAAAAAAAAAAAAAAAAAAAAAAAATCCAGGTTGGAAATAATGTCTCCTGTGAAAAAGGAGAAACTGTTCTACGGGGGGCTGTGAGGGTGGCAGCCTCCGGAAGTGTTGCCGCAGGCCGCCTGCCGTAGATGAAAAAGACCGAATTTGGATTTTCAACATAAGCGTATTTGCCCTAAACATCTTTGCTGCGAGCCCTTTTGCCGTAAACATTTTCACCACATAACTAATTGGCCGTAAAAAAAGTTAAAATCACAACAAATAAAAACACGTAAAATTAAAAAGGCTTTATTTATGTATTTAAAGTGCGTGCAGCTCCAGATAACTGATTTATTTTATGGATCGTACCTAAGCGCTTGTCTTCGTTCTGTGGGAAAAGTGGGTTCAACTCTGTGCCCTCAAACAGGACCTCACCTCTCTCCTCCCAATTAGGGTGTTTCAAAATAAGAAACCAGCTCTTGGGGCAAATCATGGTCCTCTGGCAGAAACACTATTTTAAGACCACCACCTCCTCCACTCTCACTGTACAGGCCGTTAAGAGGGCTAGCTATGATTTACAGATACTATAGCAATGGGAGTAACTATGAGAACCCACAATGGAGAAATGAAACAAAATGACAACTAGCTTAAATGCACTGTCTGTGGAAGGCAATTGATTGATTCATCAATAGAGAAACAAAACCAAATAAACAAAAAATCAAAATCAAACTGTCAACCAGTTATTTTCTTTTTAATGGCAGTTGATTGATTCTTCAATAAAGAAATGAAATGAAACCAGAGGGAAAATACCAATTGTCAACCAGTTATTTATCTTTTTTTTTTTTTTTTTTAACAGCAAAATTACCTTCAGCCAATTAGTTATAAAGGAAAAATGTTTGCAGCAAAAATGCTTGCAGCAAAGATATGTACAGCAAAGAGGCAAAGATTCTACTAGGAAAGTACCCAGAATGGAAAAGGGCCAAGTACTTCCACAGGGGCCAGGCAAACAGTGGCTACAGCCTCGGGGCAGGAGGCCAGAAACCTCTCTCAACCACAGGAAAGTGAAGCAAGTGTTTGCAATCATTCAGTGTCCAAAGGTGAGACTGTGATCCATTGCTCCAAGGTGGCTGCCCTAATTGCTGCCGCTGGAGGGCTGGTGTGTATCCCTTTAAGGTGAATGTCCAATAGGCATGGCTTGGGATTCCTTTGTGAGTAATTCCCTGTGCTCTCTCTAGTTCAGGAATCTGAATTCCAGCCCAGGAACTGCCGGGGGAGGTGGGTTGGGCTCTGAGGGGCTGGAAGCAGAGGGTTTCTGGTGATCATTTGCCTGGAAATCCTGCCATGAATATTTGCCATACAACCCTACAGGGATTTGTGTAGAAAACCTAATGGGAATGGGGGAAAAATGGGACATGCTCCACAGCAGCCATACCTCAAAGGAAATATATCAGAAGAGGCAGCAAGCAGTGAGGGGATTGTTTAGAAAATACACATTTGTCCTCCAACTGGAATTTCATAAGTTACTCTTTTCAAGATTTGCAAAGTTGTCCTATACACTACATATTAAATGAGAAGCCAGGATTTCAGTATTACATATCATTACAAAGCTATTCATTCATTTAACAGCTTTTATTAAAAAGTGCTGGGCCAACCCGGCCAGTGTGGCTCAGTGGATTTCCGTGGACTGAGAGGTCCCGGTTCGATTCTCTGTCAGGGCACATGCCTGGGTTTCAGGCTTCATACCTAGTAGGCAGCATGCAGGAGGCAGCTGATCCATGTGTCTCTCTCATGTCCATGTTTCTCTCTTTCTCTAAAAAAAAAGGGGGGGTGGGGTGGGGGTAGGCCAGCCCTGGCCAAATAGCTCAGTAGGTTAGAACATCGTCCTCATACCCCAAGGTTGTGGGTTCAGTTTCCAGTCAGGGCACATAGAAGAAATGCATAAATAAATAGAACAACAAATCTATGTCTCTCTCTCTTTCTCTCTCTCTCATCAATAATTTTAAAAAAGTGTGGGCCCTCCTTGGGGTATGAGGACAGACAAAAACTCCTGCCCTCATGGAACTTCCATTCTAGGGAGGGCAGCACACAGTAAACAACAGAATAGTTACAATATACAGTATGTCAGATGATGATAAGAGCTATGGAGACAATGAAAGCAAAGAGGGATGGGAAGTGGAGGAGTGATTTAAAATTCTGTGTTATGGCCCTGACTGGTTTTGCTCAGTGGTTGGAGTGTCAGCCTGAAGACTGAAGGGTCTTAGGTTCGATTCTGGTTAAGGGCACATACATGGGTTGCAGGTTGGATCCCAGGTCCCAGTAGGAGTCATGTGGGAGGCAACCAATTGATGTGTCTCTCTCACATCGATGTTTCTCTCTCTCTCCCTCCCTCCTTCCACACTCTATTTAAAAGATCAATAAGAAAATTATCCATGGGTGCGGATTAAGAACAATAACAACAACAAATAAAATAAAATAAAATACTGTGCTATGTCTGGGAGGGCCTTACTGGGAGGGGTATATTCTAAACCTAAAGGAGGTTGGAGAGATGAGGAGAAAGCAGCAAAGGGGACAGAGGAGGGACATTCAGGAGGAAGGGTATCCCAGAGCCAAATAAAGTGTTTCAAAGGAAAGGAAAGGTATCCCACATCAAATTGTGCTGAGATAATGGCCAAGAATCAACCATTGAGACCAGTAGTTCACTATGACCTTGATAAATAGGATTCGCAGGAGTCTGAGGAGTCTAGAGAGAGTGGGAGGAGAGGAGTTAGAGATAATGAGTATAAATGATTCCTTTGAACTGGAGTGGTAGCCGGAAGGGGATCCAGAGTTTTTTGTTTTCTTTTGGTTTTGTTTTTTGGTAGGATGGGAGAAATTGCAGTGACTTTGTTTGCTAATGGGAATGACTGAGCAGAGAGGGAAAGAAAGTGATGTGGGAGAGAGAGGGGAGAATTTTTGCTATAAGCATGGACGGTTCTTTCCACGCTGCGTCTGAGTGCAGTTGCAAGAGGTGTGTGGATGCAATAGACAGGAGAGGGGTTGGGTAGAGAGGCTTTTTGGTGACTTCCACTGTCCCGGTGAACCTGCAAGCAAGGCCATGAGCTGAGAGTGCTGTGGGGAGGGGCTGGAGGTTTGAGGAGCAGGGAATGTATGATGTGGTCATCTAGAAGAGTACAGGGCAGCATCAAGGGCCCCGGAAGGTCAGTGGTCAGCACTAGTTCACAGTGAGAGATGCTGCTGCACCTCCTCAGTCACTGATACCACTTTGGTTTTCTAGCAAACCTTTGGCTAGTCCCTGACTTTCAGGCAGGATTAGATTTCTTTCTAACGCTTGTGGTCAGTTCTTGAGACAAATGAGATTCAATCTCAAATTTTCATTTCCTCTTTATGAAGGGAATTTCCCCTTTTCTCCCACTGACATCTCTTTTTGGTATGAGCATAGTTTAAGAAAGATGAAGAGTGGCCACACGCCTGCTTAGGGCCCAGAGCTAGCTGGGATCCCTGGTTAGAATGGAAGGTAGGTCAGGAGATAATGGAGTGCTTTGAAGTAGCAGATCTTGAAGTGGAATAGACAACATTGTCCCCAGTGGAATTCTTGGAAACCCTGTGATTACAATTATAGATAATTTTAGTTTATAAACTTTAAATAGGCGATACGAGCACATGGTATAAAATTCAAAAGAGAATACAGTGAAATGCAAATCTCCCTCCCACCCTTGGCCTTCAGCTGTATGGTTCCCTTTCCAGAGGCAACCACTTTTGACAGTATCTTGGGTGTGCATGGATAATTTTAGTGACTACTGGGAAGTAAGGGGAGTATGTGTGGGTAGGCCTAGCTCAGTAGGCTGGAAATACTTACTCTGGAAACTGAATGTCTATAAAATTCTTGGGCACGTATCCTTCTTGGTTTCCAAGCTCTGCCTTGAACCACTCCTCTTGGTTACTTAAGATCTACACGGAAGAGAAGAAGGACAAAGACACTGTAGGGAGGACACCAAGAAGCAACAGGAAGGGGCACAGGGTGAAGAATGCCCTTTTAGGTTTAGGGAAAATAAACCAAACAGCTGTGCTAGTGGGGGAGCAGCAGGGTTATCTTTGGGTTTTAGCTTCTCTTGACCCCAAGCTATTTCTGTCCACAAGTTGCACCTTTACATGTGACCCCACCATGGCGTGGCCTCTCAGATTCAGCACTCAGACTTCCCTGAACCCCTTTCACTTTCTATTTTGGAAATTCATGTGTCCCAGATCTCAGTACCTAAGCTCAGCATCTGGGCTGATGGTAAGAAGGCAAGGGTGGTTTCTCTGTCAGGTAACCAGGAATCTTTAAAAAATTTAATTTGTTCTAATTTTTTTGAAACCAACAGATTAAAACTTAAATATCCAAGTGGGGCCGGCTTTGAAAATAGTAACTTTTGTGTTCACACTCCATGTGGTTCACAAACAATTTGGACATAGCTCAAGATAGCCAGAATACCTTTCTAAAACCTGCTTTTAGAGCCAAGTCACAGGCAAAGCCAGAAGTTCTGTCTCGTTACTGTATGGTCCTACCTTGACCCTGATCCCAAATGTTATCACCTACTCTGATTACTCAAGTGACTAGCCAGACTTGGCTCTATGTGGCTTCTGGTATTTCAGGACATGTTTTACCATTAAAAGACAAATATTTGTCCACCCCCAACCTCTGTGAGAATGTTTCTAAAGTATGTGGCGTAGACTGAAACAATAATTCCAAATGAAGATGGAAGAGCAGAAAGATGGAAAGAACCTTGATGATGCCATTGAACCACGGAATTAGCCACCCAGAACCCCACCTAGTTCTAGACTCTGTGTGAAAATGGATAAATCTTTGTTAATGGTTAAGCCGTTTTTAGTTTCTGTTTCTTGTAGCTGAATGTATCTTAACTGATAGAATGCTATGAGAAGGGGCAAGCAGAGGCTGGATAGGAAAGACCACCTGGAGGAAGGGACATCTGGGTTGTCCAGGAAATGACAGGAGTTACCCAAGAGAAATCTGATGTCAAAAGAACTACTTTTGGGATATGAGGAAGTACAATGATTCCGGGAGTGAAATGCCTCAGTCGGGTGGGAGTTCAGATGGTGTCCCAGAGGCAGAGAGAGGAGAAACCAGAGACACCCAGCCTTCTAGTCCATGTTGAAAGTTTGAACATTTATCTTGAAATTTATGGGGAACCAATAAAGGATGAGCCATTAAAGCAGGGAAATAATACAGTAAGAATCAGATTTAACAAGAGTGTTGCATCAGAATGTGAAGATGGAGAGGAGGGGTAAAGTCTAGGGAAAAACTGTGGGAAGACGACTGTAGGCATCCAGGTGACAGACGAAGGGGATCTGGGCTGAGAAGAGGTGAGGACATGTTTCAGAGGAATCAGGAAGCAAAACGGGCAGGATTTCATGACTGTTCATGGAGCTAAGAGAGAATGGGGATTCTGGGATGGCTCTGGATTTCTGGCTTGGGAGACTGAGTGGGTGGTGATGCCTTTACTAAAATAGAATATACAGGAGGAGGAGGAGCCGGTCTGAGGAAAAACTCATGGATCTCAGATTGCGTGTGGGTGAGTCCAAGTTGCCCCTGGGACAATCTGAGAAGAAAAGCTAAGTGAGCAGTGGGAGATGTCTATCTGGACTCAGCAGTGAGGCTGGGATTTTAGTCATTGGAAAGTGGGTGGAGTTGAAGCCATGGGTCCCCCGGGTTTCTCTCTCCCAGAGATGAAGAGAATTAAAGAAAGCTAAGTAATTGAGAAGCAATGATGACCTATTTCTAATCTCCCTCCTGAGTTGGAAGGAAGGGGACAGCATGTTGAGTTTGGAATGAGAAGACCCAGTTCCTAGCTTGGCCCTGTCACTAACTGTATGACCTTTGGCAAGTCAACTGATCATCCGAAAAATGGGGACAAAAAACAGGCTAATGCCTCACAGAGTTGATATGAGGATCAAATGAACCCTCTACCTGGAATTCCGTCAGAAAATATGTGCTGTTTTTCAAAAATATAATTCTGTAAAATGTGATATTCTTATGAGGGAGGACTCCAGCTCTGAAGGACACAGAGGGTTTATAAGTTCTTTAAAATGTTCCTATGTTTTGATTTAATCATTTGTTCTGAAGAAATAAAAGTGTGTCCCATATTTGAGTTCTAGAATTGCTGAGAAAAGAAAACTACAGTTTCTAACATCAAATATGACTGTTGGTATCACTAAGGACGTGTGGGTATGTGTATGCCGAGGGGTGTGTGGGGGGAGCAGAAAATCTAGGTCAGAAGAACTGGGAAACGCAGCACCAGCATCTGGCATTCACATTCAGGCCGTGAGGATGTTTCACCCATGCCATCTCCCTGGATTTATGGTTTCAGAATCCTTTCTCCAGTCACATGGGAATTTGGAGTTTGGCCTGGGTGGCAAATGTCGAAGAGAAGAGTGAGCAGGGATGAAGTAAAAGAGGCCATTTGGAAATTGGCTTTTCAGAGTAAGAACCACACTTTGTGTCTAGTTCTCTGACCTGAAACTAGCTGTAATTTTAGTAATTGTGGCTCACACCCATCTACCTCCTCCAGCAACTGAAAGATTATCGCATGATGCCGGCCCTTTCTCCCCACCACCTGGCGTTCGGTCTGCCTGAGACTGTGTTCACAGGGAGGTGAATTTACAGGCTATTTTTGGTGTCTAGCAGAGAAGGTTTTACAAAATCCATTTTCTGCAGAGTATTTGTGGGGGGAGGTGGTTTTCTCCTGCCGTTGTTGGCACGGGGCCCCAAACTTCCTGTTCTCATCTCTCCATCTATTCGGTTCCCCTATCTCTTCTCCCCATCATGTAAACCTGGGCAAGGAGTTCAGCCTAAACACAGGAGGTCTGATGCTTCACTTTACTGTCCCTTAATTCTTATAACACTGCTACCAGACTACATTGCTGGGTTACATGGCCTGACACCAAGTTAGATGTGGGAAGAAGACAAAATGTACAGTCGGAAGAATTTTAAAATTGGATGGAATTACAGCTCTTAGAGGCATAGTAGAAATCAGATATTGAAGAAGTTAAGGATGTAGGTTTAACTCTTAGTGCTTTTAGGCTGCTGTCTTAGTAGGAAAAAATAGGTCCGGGTTAGACGCACTACAGCAGCAGATAGACGGGGTCATGAGGCATGTTTGAAAATGAGTGACAAATTCAGCTGGTGCTGTGTGTGGCTGCTGTGTGGTGCTGTGTGTGACACAAACACAAAACACCCAACTCCTGCCTTTTCAAATGTTTCTGTCCCAGAAGAAGTGGGATCAGGTCACTTGGAAGGAGTTCCCTGTTCCCCGTCTTGTTCACTGTTCTGTGATCAGCATCTAGTGGGCACTTGCTGTTTGCACTGAGGTGCTGGAAATGCAGAGGTGAATGAGCTGGGGCCTTCACCCTGGGAAACTCACCATCTGGAGTGGGGGGGGGGGTTGGTTGTGAGCCTGGGAAGACATTTTTTGTACCTTCTAATGAAAAAGTCTGTTTAGTCTTTTATTTAGCACTAAAGACCAAACATAAAAGAGCTGAGTCAGTCAAGAGCTGGCTTTGGAAACAATTGTGAGGCTCCTTGGGGGTGTTACCCAGCTCTGGGGGGAAGGGATAGACATGGTAGCCATATGCAGAGAGACCCGCGTTCAGGGCCACTAACCACCATGAGGCAGACACTCTATGAGGCTAGCCAGCAAGCCCATCTCTGCTTTTCTCTTTTCTGCTACAGCTGCAATGGACAGAATGTGAAAAGAAAGAGGAATTTGGCCTTCTGATGAAATTCCAAACAAGCACGCAGAAATGCAATTTAGCCATCCAAGAAATGCGTCCAGAGCACCTGTTTGTGTTAGATGCTGGGAAGATGTTGGCATGGCTCTGCTCTCAGTTAGCTCACAGACCCGTGGAGGACTCAACCATTCATTCATTTACCACATACCAGGGAGGGTCACCTTTCTGCTCTTCTAGACACCGAGGCAGACCCAGTCCGCACCCTCACAGAGCTTTGTCCAGTGGCCAACACATAAACGGCAATCAGGATCCCATGGGGTAAGGGCAGCAGCTCGAGGTGGATGTACAGGGCACATGAGAGCATGGAGCTTGGCCTGCCCATAAATAACTGTCATGTGAGGCGGGATCATAGTGCCTCAAACAAAGTGTGTGAAACACACTTTGAATTGCTGTGAAATACTGTGGAATTGCTGAAGAGGGAGTGATTCATTTTCCCAGGGCAGCAGGGGACAGAGAGGATTAGTGAGGGTTTGAGACAGAGGTGGTCAAATATGTGTGTGTGGGAGAAGGCATTTGGAGGATGAGGGGGAGCCTGAGAAAGGGTGGTGTGTGTATTGCAGTGTGACCTGGTGGCATTAATACACAAAGGTGTGTGTGTGTGTGTTCATGCATGTGAGCAAGATGAGGTTGGGGCCAAATGACTTAGATTTCAACCAGTTGGTAATGGGGAACCACTGAATGCTTTTGAATAAGGAGGTGATATGATCTGATTTGTCTTCTAGAAAGATCCCTCTGGGACTAGTATATAGAATGATTGAAGGAGGAAGATACAGGAGGTGATGAGGTCAGTCAAGGGGCTGTGGCAATAGTCTGAACAGTCAGAGGCAGCAGGAATGAGTAATACTGATAATATGGTGGCCATTTGCTGAGCATCCGCTTTGGGATGCGATCATTACTTCTAATCCGTACCACAACCCTGCAAAATAGATATGGCCTCCATTTACAGATGAAGACACTGAAGCTTATGGAGGGCAAGTAATTTGCCCAGGCCATACAGCTAGTAAACTGGGATTCAAACTCAGACTTATTTGGCTCCAAAGTCCATGTTCCTTTTTACTGCATTGGGCTTCTCTCTAGCAAAGAAAGGGATTGCTTGAGAGCTATCACGAAAGAACAATATTCAGAGCAGAGGACATATTTTCGAGTCAGACACAACTCCAGATCCAGGAGAGGGACAGTTAGCAGTGTCACATTCTACAGGCATGTTAGTAAGGTCATTATATTCCACATGAAGGACATCACTGGTGGATTTTAAGGGAGCGTTGGGGGTAAAAGTCAGATTCCAGAGGGTCTGTAGAATGAATGGGATATGAGGGAGTGGAGGCACCCAGCATAGACAATCCTTCCCTGTATTGGCAGCAAAAGAGAGGAAAGAATTTGGAAGCTGGATTGAGAAGCAGAATTGAGGAAATTTTTTTCTTTTTCTTTTAAGTTTTCTGGGAAGTAGAGAAAACTTAAACAAGATATTAGGTTCTGTTTGCAATGAGAGATGAGGTGTGGGAGGGAGTTGAACCCTCCCCTACTCTAGAGTCATATGTTCACAATATTCAGAGATAAGGAAGAGATTGATCATCATGTGGCAGATTTCTCTGTGACCTTGAATTGAAGGTCACCTCTTCCTGGGTCAGCAGCCCGAAGATATTTTGACCAGTGTCAAAGGCACACTTTTGGTAACCACCTTACTAGATCTTGCAAGGTGAGAACAGTTTGAAGGATAAAAAGTGGGGGTGGTCAAGTTCCAAACCAAGTCATCCTACCTAGTTTGTGCTCACAGACACTCTCTGAGTCATCCTGTCATGTACCGACAAGGTTCTTTCTATAACAAGCATGGTTCTTAGTGGTGAGGCAGTGGTGGCATCCATGCTGCTGGGCAGCCCACGTGGGCTGCTGAGAGCCAGGGATCAGGATATCCGAGGGTGCTCTGAGCCCAGGCAGGGGGTCATTGACATCACAGACTCTCCTGTGGCCTTTTGACAGGCTTGTGCTTTTTTGTACAAAACAGGGGCTAAGATGCAGAGTCTGTAAGTACGGGGCATGAAATTTGGAAGCAATCCAAGGCCTCTTCAGCTCAGCAAGTGGCCACTACAACTGAAGTGTGGGCTGGGTGTGCATGGCCTTGTTTGAGCCCTGTGTCCTCCAGCTGCCTTTCCCAGGCTGTCTCTACCTGCACCCTCCTCTTAATTGTCCCAGCCATGCTGAATCTCACAATGCTCACAGAATTCGACATGGGCTTGCTCATTTCTGAGCTTTAGCTAAAAGCTCAACTCACCTTCATTACATCCTAACAACTGATGTTGCCACATTGCCTACAAACCCATTTTTCAAGGTGGGATCACTTGTTCCCTCACCTGTGCTCCCCGGCTCTTAGATAAGAACATCTACAACAACCCTTTGGATGGATTTGTTTCCCCTTCCAGAGACCACGAGTGTCTCAGGACAAGGACGGTAGCTTGTGCCAACTGGATTTCCATCACCTGGCCTGGTAGCTGGCATACAGGTGCTCAGGTGGAACGCTTTTGATTGAGATGAACTTCTTTTTTTCTGAAAGGAACCGTGTATAGTTCTTAAGAAACAAAGGCATGTATTGTTAGATCAAGTCAGTGACCAGACAGAGTAACCTAAACTCCCTAGGGTGCCCCTGGGCCCCACATCACCTACCTTCAGAATATCTCCAGTGTGAAAGCTCAGTTCATCCTCGCCTGAGGCAGTGAAATCAAACTTGGCGATGGCTTCCATATTGTAACAAGAAGCTGGAAGGAAAAGAACGTGGTCATTGTTTCTTTCTGCCAGTAGAAGGGTAGCACAGCAGATAGTGCTGCATAACAGTCTTAGCAGTAGGTGGGCCGGCGAGTGGTCCACCATCTCCAGGCCAGACAGGGAGGAGTAGGCGTACTGTGAGGACTTTGTTTTCTAGAAGAGCTGCTGGAGCCTTTAGGACCCGCTTCCTGGCATCGCCCTCAGAGTCCCCAGAAGCCAAGAGCAGGAAATGAAAACCAGAGACTGATTCTCCTTTCATCTCCCTTTGCCTGTCCTGGCCAGGCACCATTTCTGGGGCATCTCCATTTCCAGTTGGTAAGGAAGGAGACTTGCTATCATCTCTAACTTGAGGCCTAAGGGGCTGGAAAGACTGTTCTTTTTTTTTTTTCCCTCACCCGAGGACATTTTTCCATTTTTTGTTCAGATAGAGTGGGAGGGAAAGGGAGGGAGAGAGATAGAAACATCGAAGTGAAAGGGACACATGGAGTGGCTGCCACCCGCACAACCCAACCAGGGCCGGGGACAAACTGCAACCGAGGTACATGCCCTTAGCAGGAACCGAACCCGGGTCTCTCTGGACCGCAGGCCGACGCTCTAACCGCTGAGCCAGACCGGCCAGGGCTGGAAAGACTGTTCTGTAAACACAATCCAGGCTGCCCCTTTGGCAGCTATATTTAACCAGGCAATGTTAATTAACCTTGCATCTTTTACATCTGAGTCATTCAAAAGAATTACAGCATTGGCCAGTGGGGAACTTTGGGTCCTTCTGCATGGTTTGAGAGTAGAAAGCATTCTGGTTTTAGAGTTGGGAGACTCAACTAGTCAGCTTCCTTATTTATTTTATTAATATAGTGTAAGCCAAGTACATTTGGAAATTTTAATACTTCTGAACCGAGTTAAAATATTGACCCCTCCTAGTAATAGATGAAACCTGTGTAAAGATAAATAGGTCAGTCTACAAATGAAATATAGGTTTTTGCTTTTTGTTCTAGGAGACAGTGGGAACCTGATTTTGTTGGTGAATAGCTGTCTGATCTTTGGTGCAAGTAACTAAACCTCTTGGAGTCTCAGTTTCCTCATCTATAAAATGGGGTTATAATATTCAACTAATAAGGATGTGAAATTAAATAACAGAAGCAAAATATTATCGACTATAAAGCTAAGTAGCATTTTTATTTTAAAATAATTTGATGGAATGAATTTATCCTCATCAAAGGTAGCCTGGCTAACAGCAGCATAAGTTTTCTTCCCATCTCCTAGAAACTTTTCTCATTGAAATTTGATGTTTATTCTCCATGATCCTCACATCCTTTGGTCCTCTGCTAAGATGGCTTACTGTCAGGACACAGTCTTGAAAGCTGTTGTTTGGAATTTACGCTTTGCAAAATTTGCCTAAATCCGAAACCTTTTAGGTTGGTAACCCCCAAGCCTAACTGACTTTCAGTAACCGGTAAACTGCTACTACAATTGTCCTCTCAGAGGGGATTTCTGCCTAAATGACAAGATTTGGGTAAATAAGGAAGGTGGCTGCAGGGGGTGGGAGGGTGCACCGGCCACAATCAGGGGATTAAAGCCAACTGCAACAGTGGTGATAGCAAGGGGTTCATTTCTTTGATTTTCCACATTTGCTTGGTCATCCAAAGGCAATTTGTAGAGATGAGTTTTACCAATCCCAAAGAAAGGTATTAAGCAAAAAATATTTCAAGAGCCAGAGTAAAATGTCATCATCACTAACTCTCTGAGCTCTATCACAAGCCAAAACTATCCCTCCCCCCGCAACAAGTATACTTTTTGTACACTTTCTTCAAAATCTGTCCATCTAAGGCAAATTAAAATTTTTGTGGCCTAGGATGACCCACTCAACAGGAAGGCTTATTCTGCCCTCCTTAGTGAATGCTAAATGTCTTTCCTGATTTGATTCACCCCATTACTTTAACATGCAAAGCTTCCCCTAATTAAGGCCTTGCCTCTAGTTGGCACCACATTAAGATGTGGTGGCTGTGGGTCACCCTCATGGTATCAAGAGTAGACACTGGTCATTTCAGGAGATCAAGTGTCAGGTGAATGGTCCTGAAAACCAAGATCTCATTTCTATGCAAATTTACCTTAATAAGCAGGATGGAGACAAAGAAAGTGCAAATGCTAAACATATTAGAAAGTCACATAAATTAGAGATGAAAAGAATATTCAAGGCATGCTCTGGATATGACCTTGAGCTTGGGGAGAGCTTTCTTACATTACATATAACTCGGATCAGGCCTTGGGCCAGGCTGGCTGTAAGTCACTTCGGTGAGAGGCTGAGGCAGAAGTAGAACTGCCTGAATAGCGGCACGTTGCCTTCCCCCAGGAGGCAGGTGGTATGGAAAAGCCAAAGACACAGGCACATCACAGAGCTCCCTAGCTTATAATATTAATCCTGGCTCAAAAAACCCAATTAGATAGGCCCGCTCTTCATGAAATCACTTTGAAAAAATTTGTTTGCATCCCATTTCCATTTGTGAAATGAAATCTGTTCAGATGCTATTTGGGAGGAAGAAGATTTCAGGGTAGAGTAGGGTATGCTCTGTTTTTGTTCAATCACAGGGGTTTGCAAGTTCTTCCCTTGAATTTACCATCCTCTGCTTCCCTAAGAGCAAAGGATGGTAAATGTGTCACCCCTCTAAGGGGCAGTCTATGTTTGATTATAGAAATGTGGAAAATTTATATCCCATTCTTCTATAGCCATTAGTTTTGAGAAGTTTAAAATTGCTGCCAGGGAAAAAGAAAACTGAACTAATGCAGTTTATTCAGTATTTATCTATTCATTTTATAATCTGTACCTACCATCACTGCATACTGCATCTGGGAAACAAACAAAACTAGATGGACAGATAGAAGATATAGATATAGATATAGATATAGATATAGATATAGATATAGATATAGATATGATGGAGATAAAAAGATGGCAGCAATACTTGTGAGAGAAAAGAGGAGAGAAACAGACAGAAAGAGAGAAGCTGTCTCTAGATTTCAAGAATGCAGCGCACCTTCTCGATGCTGTCTGCAGTAACAGTGCTTCCGACCTCACCAGGAGATGAAGACAGAGCCACCCCTTCAGAGAACCTCCCAGATGGATTAAATGTATGCTTCCTGCCAGTGATCAGCTTTAGAAATGGCTGAAATGCTACCTGCCATAGAGTGTGAATGAGAAGTGACAGTATCCAGGGGCAGGCAAGCCACGCCCAGTGGCCGCCCTCCTTTGTCCAGGAATCCCACCTCAGAACCAAGCAGAGTCCCTGCCCCTCATGCTACCGTGCTCCTCACCAGCCCTCTGCATCTGTCTCGCTTCCCCCTTTACAAATTGCACATAATATCCATTAGCAGCCTGCGACAGAGATCTGCCGCAGCACAGGGCAACACCGCACAGGACTTCCCCAGGCACGGTTTTCTCTGACCTTGCATTTCCATTCAAGCTTCTTTAACACCAAAAAACCTGAAAAAATATTCAGACTATATACCAGGAAAGCTTACCTACTTCTAAAATATAGTCACCACAGAGTATGAAAACAAAAGCCATGAGACAGTTCTTTAAAATTATCCATCCTTAATTGATGTCATTTACCTAGCTATGAATACCTTGTCACACATAATGTCAACACATATAGCACTTTTTGTGAAAATGTAGCTGATGAAGCATCTCCTGTAATTTCCAATACCACTCTAACAACAAAATCATATAATATGAAATTAGTTAGTTTTTGCAAGAAGAGTCCTTACAACAGAACTTATAGCCCCCCCCCTTCCTTTAGCAATTTAATATCAGAAGCATTAATAAATCTGGGTTCTTTTATTTTTATTTTTTGTTAATCCTCACCAAATATATTCTTTCCATTGATTTTTTTTTTAATTTTTATTTTTTTAGATAGAGTGGAAGGGAGGCAGGGGAGGGAGAGAGAGGGAAAGGGAAAGGGAGGGGGGGGAGAGAGAGAGAGAGAGAGAGAGAGAGAGAGAGAGAGAGAGAGAGAGAGAGAGATGAAACATGAATTGGTTGCCTCCCGTATTCACCCCAATGAGGGGCACTGGGGATTGAATCTGCAACCCAGGTGTGTACCCTTGACTGGAATTGAACCAGAGATCCTTTAGTGTGTGGGCCAATGCTCTAACCACTGAATCATACAGGCCAGGGCTGGGTTTTTTAAAATCCAAAAGGTATCTAGAAACCTTTTTAGATTTTTAAGTCTGATTTTTTCATGCAGATGTAGTTCTATCAAAATACCTTGTTTTACCTTAAGATATTTGTTGCACAGGTAGACACTGCTGTTTTGAGATTTCTATTTGAGTTCATTCAAACTGCAAAACTAATCTGTATCTTGTACCAAACTGATTTAAAGTGAATCTACATGTTTATTGAAAAAAGAAATCCTTAATTGAAAGTTAGATTAAGTGGATATGCTCAGAAACACGTAATTACCATCAAAATGGTACCAGGCAAGAAACCTCTTGAAAGATTTCAGCTCCTAAGTTGGCTATGAATAGCCAAGGTTTCTGCTTTATGCATCTCTTTAAAAGAGCGACTGCGTAACACCAGAAAGCTATTTGAGGATTCAGGCTCAGGATTCATCCAAAGAGGGAGTTGGGCCCTGAACTGAATCAGTGACCCCACTTCCTATTTTTCTGGGAAGAGTTCTAATTTGAAGATTATATGACTTGCCCAGTTTATGTTGTAATTCAGTTAAGATAATACTGTGGGCAGGGATGGGGAGAGAAACACTGCTCTTTGTAAGTACAGTTGACTCTTAAACAATATGAGGGTTACAGGTGCTGACCCCGCACACAGTTGAAAACCTGCATATAACTTTTGCCTCCCTGAAAGCTTATTTGTCCCTTGGTATATCCATGGGGGATTGGTTCCAGGTCTCCCACAGATGCCAAAATCCGAGGTTGCTAAAGTGGCATAGACCAATGCGTACAAGTAGACCCTCCACATCCGTGGACTCCCCACCTCGGATCA